AAATTGGGCCTTTTGAGATTAGATACAAAAGGATAAAGACTCAAGTTCAATCACTGGATGCCAGATTTGTAGAGGATAACATCCACTTTGCCTTTCACAGGGCAAGTCACACTAATGAAAGAGAAACAAAATCTTCAGCTAAAGGCACTCTATACATACAACACCATCTTATTACTGATCCAGCAGCTTCCCATGCACTTTTTGCAAGGTGTGATTCTGGCAAAGAGCGTTTCATGCAAGGGAAGAGGACCATTCTCCAGGCCAGATCCCTCTATTCCATTACAATGGATGGAGGGAGGGGGGTATGCTGAAATTAACCCACTGAAGTTTGGAAGGTGGATGAGATTTTAAACAGGCAGCATGGAGCAGAAAACCTCCTGCATATCTGCTACAGCCTTACAAAGTCAGCCCATTTGAGAGCTGACATCGCAGACATTGCACCTCATAAGGAATACCTCAATATTGTCCTTCCCTGTGCAGTTAACTTTGTCCTTTTCAATACTTTCATGTCCAAAACAGTCACTAAAATGCATGTCCCTATTCAGCAGACCCACTATAGGATGTCATTTACCTGCAGCACCAGGCTTCTGAGCTGTTCCTCTGCAAATAATGAATTTCACCCAGTGCTGCCTAAAGATTCATCGAAAATTATGGAAATTTATGAACTGTCAGGAAATCAAACATATTCTATCAAAACAGGAAAGTATACTCCACCTCACAAATGTGTTTGCTAATTTCAGCAAAAGCAGTCCTGTTCTCAGCATGAAAATATTTTCTTGACCACTGATGCTCTTTGCCGAAGGTGTTGCAGTGGTATCAGGTGATACCCAGCATCTGACTACCCTTGGTGCCTCTCCTATGGAAGAGTGATGCAGAGGTTGTCATGTTAAATATGTATTCCTTACCAACACAACAGCTCAATAGTCTGAAAGCAGTTAAACCCACAACACTTCAGATACCAAACCCTACCTTTGGGGAAGCACAATCTACTCTGCTGCTTCTGCACCCAAATCACATCAGCTGCAGCCAGGTCTGCATCTCCATGCCACACTGCTCGCTGCTTTAGATTTTGAAGGGTAGGCAGACAGAGCCAGATTGCAGCAGACACAGCACTGTCAGGTTAAGGATCTCTTGCACACTTTTAATTTAAATTAGCATGCTATTTGTTTTTGTTACTCGTTTTTGTTCTTTGTTCTCTGTTAAGTTTCTTTGCATTTCTCTCTGGCTGAACATAAAAACAGCTATTTCAGTTTCAGAAGTGTTCATAATAAAGTTAATTTCTCTCCCAGGTTTCAGCTGATGGTACAAGGCTAGCATGCCCAGGTTGCAAAGTGTTTATTGTATTGGGACTTTAGAGTCTCTAATGAAAGCAATGTCATAAATCATGGAAATGTCTGTTATACTCGGCATCTGTGTCTGAAGGTGATTTTTCTTTCCCTCTACAGGGAACTCTCTGCATTCTCCATCAAAAGGTGCAGGTTTGCTTCCACACCTGTCATCTCCTCGGGGTGTTCCCGAGAGACTTAGTGAAAGCAAAACTAAATTCACAAAGCCTTATGCCTTCTAACTTCCCCTTCTTCCAACCTTCTCATTTTGTCCATAAATCAGAAAAGCATCTGTGACTTCAATTGAAATTCCAGAGCCCTGTAAACACAGGGCTTACTTTTGCCATCCTTACACATGCACAATTATCACACATCTCGGTGAGAATTTTGACCAAGGAAGGACTGAAGAATCCAGCTGGCATTTACATAAACTGAGAATTGGTTTTGCCTTCAGTTATTGATAAAGCATGGGAATATCACAAAGAATTAGTATTCTCTACAATGTATTGTACCATTTGAATTGGGTGCCCTGGCCATGATCCAAGTTTATAACTGTTATTATTATAGTGCTTGTATACTCTGGATGTATTACATTACCAAGAAAAACATTAATACCACATTAGCAGTAATCATCAGGGGCTACTGATTCTTTATATACTGCACTGTTTTACAGCATGGGCTCATTTTCTGTCCCAGTGGGTGTTCTGATCTTTAAATATTTCAATGCTTCAAACAAATTTTTGTCAACCAAGCACTGCATGCAACATTTATTTTTCTAGCTCTGCATGGCTAGTAGAGAAACACAGCCTTTAAACATTAAATACAAGAAATTATAATTATGGTGTCCCCACTTCAAAGAGGAACAAATCTAAAATTCACACTTCATCCAAAAGATGTTCTTGTGAGATAAAATCACAGAGGACCAGATGAGGTCCACAAGTCTAGAAAGATGACACTTAATGTATTCCTTCCTGTGTGTGCTGACATAAGGCTATCCTATCCCAGGGTGGGTTGAGAAATTCTCAATTCCTTCTTTACTCCAACGTGTGGGAAAGTAATACTGTGCAGCTTCCAACCCTAGCACAGCTCCTTCGGCTTGCATTCAGTGCATGAGAACCCATCTCAGTAGATTTGCAACCTAAGAAAAAACTCATCCCTAGTAACTCTAAAGCAGATGATTCAGACCAAAGGAGTTTGAAGTGAATCTTGCTGCAGATGGTGTGATATAAACATGAGCAAAATATTAACCTAATGGAAAAAGTCTGAACTTGCACACCTACGTACACTCTACTACTGTTAGCCATTAAACGTGCATCAGCATACCAGTCCCACATCTAATATGAAAGGTTGTCCAAAGAATTCCTTGTTAAACTACCAGTAAAAAACGTTATAATTACTGCTGCCTTAAAGCAATGCTTCCAAAAGAGTCTGCATGCCAATTCTTTTGTTATTACCATGCAGCCTCTTTCAGAATTAACACCCCCTGCCCCAAAATATAACACGTTGCAAGAACATGCTTTCCTCAGTTCACCTGTGACTGATGATATGTATATCATATACAAGTTCCTTTAAGTGAAGCACTTATTCAGTACATATTTCTGTTCAATGACCAAATTCCTCTCCTTTCAAAGAGAATCCTCCCGAAATTAGGAACATTCCTGTATCTGTATGAACTCAATATCTGTTGGCACTACTTAACTTGCTTGCATGTGCCAGCAAATATAGTTTGACAACAAGCCCAAGGTTTATTTAGCCAATCCCAAATGGCCTAGATAGTTTCATTGTGGGTCACATTACTACCCAATTGAACAAAACCAAGAAAGGGGAGCCAAACCTCAAGCTTTATGGGCCCATTTAAACACTTATCCTGTGGGCATCCCAAATCATCTCAATGGCCAAGTAGACAGGCCAAGACAAGACAGGCAACAAGGAACCTGCACGTTTCCATACTGCCCCCATGCTGGTCAGCACAGCCCTACCTCATGAGGAGAGAAAGGAGTCTATCCTTGCCTCCTGAAAGAGACAGGTTAATGAGGCTGACGGTCACACCTTAGAACTGATTCATACAGTGTTTGTATGTGGCAGCATCACATTTACAGCAAAGCTGGACTGGGTCCGCAAAAACTGCAAGGCACATTATAGAAGAAATGGGCTTCTAAACCCAAGTCACTCCCCTAAGGTTCTCCTAATATATCCGAACTGTGCATTGTTTCCTACCAAGCTTAATCTAAAAACTTTGTGGATTACAGCCCTCAGGACTTGCTGAGAATTTGGAAATTATCTACTGTCATTTTACCTGTGCTGTCTAGCATCACACTGTGTTATGACACCTTCTTAATAATGGGGGAAGAGAGGAAGAAACAGAGCATAGCTTCTGCTGCATGATTCCCCCCATCTCCAAGCCTCAACTGATTTATTGCATCAGGGCTTTGACACTGAAAGCCAAAAGAGAAAATTGGTTTTTAATGAAGAAAATAATCTACAAAGTCAAGACAGTTTTAAGAAAAGCCTTCGATAACTGTTGTTGGAAGATTAGAGAAGCAGTCCTAATGTGATGAAATGTAACATTCATTTAAAAAAAAAAGTGCAAGATTCACTGTAAGACTGGTGAGCATTTTTTTCAGGAATGCAGCTTCCAACTCCTTCCATTCTACAGGAAAGTTGCAGAGAGAAATAACCTATAAAAGGAGCCTCACTTATGCTCATTTATGTGAGCATATGGTCTTATCAAAGGCTATTTCTCCAATAATACTGCCTAATTGGAAAAAAATTGAAAACCATTCTTGGGATCATTTGAGTTTCTAGCTGCTTATCAAGAGGGTTAATTGTCTTTGCCTTATCAGAACAAACTGACTATGTTTTTAATTAATTAACTTGTCTTCAAAAGGAGCTTGATCCTGCATATTCTCAACCATACTACAAGTTTGTAATCCCTTAAGTAACCCCATTGAAGTCAATGGAAGCATTAAAAATGGCACAACTTAGACTCAGGGCTTTAAAAGAAATGCACATGCCTAGGTTAAACAAATACATGAACGCTTGCATGGTCGCCGGCTCACTGAGGAGCAGCTTTTGGTAAGTCCCTAAGTGAAAGAATCTGGATAACATTAATGCATATTTGCATGCAATTGTGAAATTCGAGGCATTTTCCACTCCGCAGTTTTCCAAGAGACAGACCTGGTTACAGTGTACTAGGGAAAAAAAAAAAAGAAATATCTGCCCTCAGCCCTCAAAATGGCAAACTCTCTCCTCACTTATGACAAACCTTCCATTTCAACCGGGGCAGGCAGCTCTCGCTGATGCCCCCGCACCGGGCTCTCCGTGCCCAGAGACCATCTTGAATCCCCGCACCTTCTCCCCGGCCGGAGCCGCCGCCAGCCCCGACGCCCCGCGCCCCCCGCCCCGGGTCTGGCGCTCCCCCCGCTGGCCCCGGGGCGCGGGTCCCGCCCCGCCGCAGCCACCGGGTCTCTCTGTCCGCCCCGCCGTGCCGGCGCACCTGCAGCCCGAGCCCCGCCGCCCGGGCCGGGGACTCCCCGCAGGACTTGGGCGGAGCAGCCGGCACCGGCTCCTGCACCTGGATGCGCCGCTCCGGCGGAACCGCCCGGCGGTGCCCCCGCAGAAGGCGCGGCGGGGCTGCTTCGCCCCGGCGAGAGCTCGCCCGCGGTGCCCCCTTACCGTTAGACCTTCGCACGATGTTCTCCAGGAACGTGTTCTGGGGCGCCACCAGCCCTCGCCTTCCCCCGGCCATAGTCGCTCTGCGGGAGCGCAGCGCGGCGCAGAGGCTCCGCTCAGGGCCGCGCCGACCCGCGCTCTGCCGCGCCGCCGCCCGCCCGCCCCGCGCTCCTCATGCCTCCGCCGGGACCGGCACCCGCGGCTGTGCAGCACCGCCGCTCCCGCCGCCGCCTCCCGCGCACCGCAGCCCCGCGCCGCCGCCGGACCGCCCCGCAGCGACCCCCGCCGGCCGCCGCCGCTCCGCAGCGCCGGGGCTGCAGCGCCACCGTCTGGGGCCAGCGCGGCGGCGTCCTGGGAGCGCTCTGCCCGTCACGGGCGGACAGCGCATCCCGGCGGCCTCATCCCCGGCTCGGCGGCGACGGGGCTCGACCCCACACCAGTGCGCCTCGGGGGATGAGGAACTCGGAGTGCTTGAACACCGCTCACAAACGACCGGCGGCAGCCGTGCGGGGCGGCGGGAGGCACCGCCGTGTCCCGCTACGAGTGGGTCGCTGCTGCGAAGCAGCGGACACTTCGCTCGCCACCCTCGTCCTTCACGCTTCCCTACGACGACTTCTGTTAGAAGGCTACTTAGTATTATGTGGTCAAACTGATAAACAGCTCAGTGGAAGCAGTGAGATAAACTGAGTTCAAGAAGCGTTTGGTCAACGCTTTCGGGCACATGGTGCGATTCTTGGGGTGTCCGGTGCAGGGCCAGTAGTTGGACTTGATGATTCTGATGGATTGCTTCCAACTCATCATATTCTGTGATTTTCTGATTCTATGAACCTCTGACAGGTCCTAAACTCTTTGAGATATTTAAGTTACAACAGTTTTTCATTGAGAGATGAATTGACTTTTTTCTTTCCCACTTACAGTCTATCAGTAAATGGAAAATTCTTAGATCTCTTTAATTTAAGAGGCAGATTTTCTTGCTGGCATTGGCATGTACTTGCTGTAATGCCTCATTAAGTGCAGCACCTTCAGGCTCTGCAGCTCAAGGCATATTCAAGACATGAATATGTTTCCACATGATCACATGCCTGAGGAAAAGCTGTTTCTCACAGTACCAGCAAATAAAGCATGGCAAGCACGACGACCTGTGTCACTTGGCCTTTTTAATCATTAGCATTGCTCCCACAGAATGCTGGCACGGCCCAGTTAGCTCTCTCCTGGGTAAGGCTTGGGCCAGGAACTGCAGCCAGCTCCAGCACAGCCACACATACAGTCCGATTCAGGCACACAGTTGTGACCAAATGCTGCCTGTAACGCAAGCACTGCCACAGAAGTCCAATCTCCCTGCTGCCAGCCTTCTGCCTCCCACAGCATTTTAAAGTGAAGAGTATGAGAGAGTCGAGGGGTGGAGGCAGGTGACAATTTCATTGCAGCAGGAGCTGCAGATCAAGTCCCTGAGCAGTGCCAGCAGTCACTCACACAGCCAGACACCTGGGAGACTCCTAAAGCCCCTCCATAGCCCAACCTCCTGCAAGGCATATGAAGTAGCTGTGCCATGGAAGCTGCTTTTAAACTGGTGGTGAACTTTATGCTGGGTATCCCCGCATTTGCTGCCAAAGAGAAGAAGGTTAAGAGTTGCAAAAAGGCGACTAATTCTCCCTGAAATGTTGCTGGGTTTTGAAAAATCCCATAGAAGCATTTATTTGTATCTTTACACGTCTAAATCTATCATCAACGACACACAGAAAGACCCCAAGTTATTTAGCTCCTGCTAGCTTCAGCAGCACAGCCAAACTTGAAGAGATCTTAAACTCTCTGGCAATTTGCACAGAAAAATTGTAACCATAACCTTTGACATTGAATTTGCACAACTGCTAACAACCAAGAGTGAGGTTTTGAAAAACTGAGATCTGGAAGACTGTTTTGTTATCCTTCAAAGCCACTGCACCAGAGGAATAAGTGCATGCTATATTTCAGTTTCTGCTGAGCTCTGCAGGAATATCTACGACTTGGAGACACCTGGCAGTTGACACACATAACAGAAACTTAGAAGCTCTTAAAGAAAAAATATTTTAAACTGAATCAGCAAGTACACAGAAGTGGGAGCAAGGTGACACAGAGTAAGAAACTAAAGACTTTTTTCTGGGACTCCAAGAAAGGTGGCCTGGCTGCAGTTTGTGTTGCAGCCTCTAATTATCTAATTTTTCCAGATCATCATGCTTAATCCTATGTTCCATGTCAAAGGTACTATTTTATCTAGGTTGGGGTTTACATCTACCCTGTAACACTGTAAATTACTAAAATACTACAGCAAACTGTGGTGGGTTGGCCTTGTCTGGATGCCAAGTGCCCACCAAGCCACTCTATCACTCCTCTCCTCAACAAGATGGGGAAGGAAAATAAGATGGAAAAAACCCCTCATAGGTCAAGATAAGGTAGTTTACTAAAGTAAAAGCAAAACATGTGCACACAAGCAAAGGAAAAAGATTTTATTCTCCACTTCCCATCAGTGAGTGATGTCTTGCCATTTCCCAGGAAGCAGGGCTTCAGCACGCATAGTAGTTGCTCTGGAAGGTAAACATTGTAAATAATGAATGCCCCCCTCTTCCTCCTCCTTCTTAGTTTTTATATCTGAGCAGACACCATAGGGTATGGAATGTCCCTTTGGTCAGTTTGGGTCAGCTGTGATGGTTTACCCCCTCCTAAGATTTTGCCCACCCTCCAAACCCACCCTGCTAGTGAGGGGAAGATGTTGGAGAGACAAATGTTCAGCAGTAGCCAAAACACTGGTGTGTAATGGGCACCTTTATAGCTGCCAATGCAAAGCACAGCACTCAGGGCTTCTATGGGGAAACTAACTCTATCTCAGCTAGACCCCATACACAAGTGGAAGATTTTTCCTTAATCTTCTATCTCCCTTAGATTTTATCCCCTCTGCAAAATATGATTCCTGCTGGCAGTATGAATTTTTCACCACTAGTGCAGAGGGACACTGTGATAATGTTTTCCTGTGATTATTTTGAATTCTATACTAATTTTGTTACCATTACTGGTAAATTCTGCAAATGATACAAAGTCCCACTTGAACAAGCACACATATGCTGTCTGACTTCATTATTAGATGGTTACCTCTCTCCAGCTATCACTTTTTTTGTAAAGTTGAAAACTGGAACTGCTTCATTTGGTTCTTTGCTAAATCCTATTGGACAGAACTTAATACCTAACACTTCCACTTCAGGCTAATATAAAGGGTCATAGCTTGCTGTAGAGGACATTCAGCTGTCTCGCATTACGCTGCTCTTTAAGGCCCGCTGTCTTTTCCTCAAAAAGGACCTAGGCCAGGACTTGTAGTATCAACCACCCCGTAAGTGACCCCATTGAATTGAAAACCAGCCTGAAAAGAAACCCAGCACTGGTGGTGAATGTGGTAAGGCAGCAAAGTCATCTCACAGGCAGAAGCCTGTATTTACACCAACCCATTTCCTAACATGGCCACAACTTCAAGTGTTGATACAAACACCTTGAAAACTCTACCACTAATAAAAACATTAGTTCCAGGCATTAATTTGTGGGAATGTCACTAAACCCCATGGCATCTATGAAATAAAAACACTGGAACAGGACAGAGCTCACTTCTTTCACTTTGTCACAAGGTTCATTCCTGAGAGATAGTATGGTAACTTCCTTTAAAAACTTACCCTTAGTCAGCCATACAGTCTCTAGGTAAACTGTTTCACCATCTAACAAATCTCGTAAGAAAGCTTTTCCTAAAATACCACTAAATGATCTGGTCTTTAAAGCCAGCAAAAACGTTTTCTTCTGCAGGCACAAAAATCACCGACCCTTTTGCAAGTTTTCAAATGCATGAAAAGTTCCGGTAATGCTCCTCTGTCAGCACACACTGCCTTTAAGTCTGAACAAACCCACTTCTTCCAAAGTTGCACAAGACTTCTGCTGTTAGACTCTGCCAGTACTTTGGGACTTGTAATTTCACTGTCACAGCATCAAATCAGTAAAGAAATATGGCAGTTAGGGACATCTCATATGCTCAGAATTTAGCTAATTTATATTGAAAAGCACTGGTTTTATTCAAGAGGTTTTTTTTAATTTTTACTCTGTTTTGCACACTACTTTTTGTTCTTTGTAAAAAATAAACTGTCAAACCCCAGAATTATAACAAGTTATAACAAACTACCACCACCTCTGAAAACAAAAAGAACATTCAATCTTTACATTGAGTTCAATTTGTATACTACCACATGGCTTTTGCTAAACTGTCAAAATAAAATACATAAATTGATAGAATAACAAATTACAGAAGATAACGCACAAGTTACTCTGACATACAGACACTAAAAAAAAGAAATTCTGAATTCAAACTAAGATGGAGAAACAATTATAACTTTATTTATTCATTTTTGCATTAAAATCAATAAAGCCGTCATTATTCTACAGATTCTTACCCCCGAAGTTTTGCAGTCTAAGGCCCCATTCTCAGTAACATACATGAATACTTGCTTGTGACTAACATTAACAGTATTCATTAGCTTGTGGGAAAAGCAATGAGAAACAAAAGTTAGTCCTTAAAACTAAGGCAAGTCAGTAGTTTAACAAGTACATGGTGTGTCCATCAAAAGGAAAGAATTTGGGAAGCCATCTGTGCACCTTAATGAAACAGTTTAATTTATTTCTACAACACATTTTAACCAAAATGCTCCAGACATTGGCAAAGTTCAGCCTGAGGTTCCTAAAGGTCCAATTATTTCTGGGGTCTACAATGAAATGAAACTTTTAACTCAATAAAATATCCAGTTGCACAGCAGACTGTAGACCTAAAAAATGAGATGTGTTAGTATTAACGAACAGCCGTAACAAATTCGTCAAAAAATAAATATGGACACTTTTCCAGTTTTGGAATTACTGAATTTCCTCCAGAGTTTTTATGGATAACAAATATGGGAAAATAACTAAAAAAATCTAATGTTCTGAAAGGAAGGGGAAAAAAATCTCAAAATAAAACTGGTGAGAGAGTACATAGCCAGTCTTTTATTTATACATCTAACATTTGGAGTGTGGGCTAACAGGGAGGAACTGTTCCTTCTTAGAACACCTCAAAAGGGCATAGAAAAATTTTCCCCGTTTGGACAGCATGTCCATCTCCATTTATTTCAACAGGAGCTGGCACGCTGGCTTTCCAGATTTAGAGAGAAATAAAAATAACTCCCCCAAAACCTACCAAAACACAATACAAAAAAAGTCCTGACACATCCTGATTAGGACAACAGGTACTATCACCATTCTCCTCACTGCAGCAGTCTCTGTTCAGTCCTCTGGGCTCAACCCCGTCCTGACCTGGCCACATCTCTTCCAGTCTCAGAGCAGAGGCAGTGACCAACTGAAGTGTTATTACTCAGAGGGAGGATAGAAAATAACTATAGTTTTTTTGGTTCCAGGTCTGGTAGGATTTTTTATTAACATTTTTATTGTGTGCTTCAGTTGGCTTCATTTTTCCTTTGTCTGGGTCAATATAAAACAAGGCATAATTAAACAATTCAGGAGCAGTTTGCTTGAATTCTAAAGGAATGCAGGGCCCTCGCTAAGTAATTGTAATAAATAATTTTATTTGCATGCTCTGTCCACAATAAGTGTAGGAACCCATAGTTACGGGTACTGTTTTTTGTTAATTAGCAAGGAGCTCTGCAGGTTGAATTACTGTGTTGTTACTAATTGTATCTTTATTTCTCAACTGTTGCCTAGTAGTCCCTAATTTAACAATACTTTAAAAAGCCACTTTTAATCCTACATTTTCATTATAAGCTGTCCAAAGAATAAAAACAAAAATTACCTAGTTTAGGCCCAGATTCAGAAAAATAACTCTAGTTAGGAATATGCTTGTGCTAGCTAGCAAGTCCTCTTTCTCTTTTTTTCTTTTTTCCTATTTTGGCTCTAAAACATCCCCTTTTAGCCACTGCCCTTGATCTAGACCACTTGATTAACTTTTTAAACAAACCTTGTATTTTACTATACAGCAGTTTCCAAGAATGTAATAATACGAAGAATTCCCAAATAATAGTGAGTTCAAGTCCCCAAATTATAACACATAACCTAACCTCTATAGTTAAATTTAAAAAGCAGAACAGTCTTTAAAGCCTCACTGCTTTTTCTCTGGACAGGAGCATCATACCTGTGAGGCTGACAGTGGTAAAGGCACTGCTAAGTGTTTTTTTTACAGCAGCCTCTCCAAGAAATGCACCTCAGAAAGTACCCAGTATAAAACTATTCTCAACACAGTGAATAAGTTTCTTGAACAGGGTTTGTATTTTGTAGCTTTTGCCTTACATGTGCTCAGAATTCCAGCTTTGGAGTTACATATTCTATAAAGTTGATCTCTTACCTCACAACTTTACTGACCGTGACCAGTTCCTTCTACTTTTTCAATTTTAGAACGTTTATCAACAGACAGAAACCAGCCTCTCCTCCAAAAAAATCCCTTCCTAGAATAGAGAAGAAAACAAAGCAAAACAAACCCTTCTCACTTCATTTCATAGTTTTATTGAGCCTAACATCTCATCACATATTTCCCACTTACTGATCTTCCTGTCAACAGGCTGCATTACTTGTAGCATTTGCTTTCCGTGTACACAGAACTTTGTTGCATTCTTTGACAGTGGGAGGAATAAACAGAAGTAGCCAAACAAGTCAGGAACACAAATCTGGATAGGAAGAAAAAAAGAAAGGAAAAAAATAACCCAAACACTTTGTTACTACCTTAGTACTACCAATTTTTAAATTTAAAATTTAAATATAGTGATTACATATTTTCTCATTCTAAGAATAATCTCTTATTGTTATCTCCTGCAGCTGCACTGAGAAAAAATTATTAATTTTCTAAATTTGATCATATCTTAAAGGTATTTTTTTCATGGCCTTTATCAGCACTGAACTCATATCTATAGCTAGTGGCTAGTATCACATGAGCTACAATTGTCATAAACACTTGCATACTTGCTATGGGGGAGTGGGTTATGCCTTTTCTAATTTTGGTTAATCTTTTTACAATCCAAGTAGAACAGATTGTGCTTCCACCGATTATTGTGAAGCAAAGATTGCTACCAGTTAATTAATACAAAAACTTCTGTGTAAAGTATCACACAGTACAGTGAAATATCAGGACATTCTTTAAAAAAAAGATGCAGCGTAATATTCAGACCTATCTGCAGCCTAACCAAAACAGAGTACATGGCATATAGGAAGGTGAAGTTAGGGAATGAGTGGATGGGCTGGGACACATGCTTGTTAGAAGTGAGCATTTACACATGAACATCAGCAGAAGCAACATCTATCAAAAATGCCCTTGACAGTTCTGAAATATCCATAGGGAGTGGATCTCTGGCAATGGCTCAGAGTGCAGCTCTGAAACCTGGATCATGTCCTTGGTTTTTCAGAACACTAGAAATCTAACACACATGGACCTCATAACAGGCTCCCAAACTATAACACATTTCAAGTTTTAATTAGGTAGACCCCTAAACTGAAGATAAAAGCCACCTTTACTAAAAGGGATGTAATTTAGATGAAAGATAGTGAACTACATATGAACAAGTAAAAACTTTACCTCCAGCATAAGAGAATGTAATGCACTGGCTGAGAATGAAGCTGAGTGGGTATTTTTCTAAAAACTATGTGGAAACCAATGATAGCAAGGTCCTAGTGGTATCCAGCATTTTCACCCTAAAGTTATATAGACATGAGCTTTTGTTTTTCCTCTCTGTTTAACAAACACTCTGGCAGAAATTTTGTGAACTGTTTAGTCTTCCCAAGGAGAATTTTCCTACTGTAGACTGACCCTTTACGTATTTATCCATACCCTCAAATGCAAAATATTACAGATTTCAGTTTTATATTTATGTAGTTTTATCTGCCTCAGATAGGAGAAGAGAGAATATAATCGCTGGAAACATTATACAATACAAACCAAAGAGCCAGATACATCCATATTGATTTGTTTGTTGTTGAGTTGCTAGTTTTTTTAACAGACTACACTTAAGAGGACCATTTGTACTTGTAGAAAAATCCAGTAAAATTGTATTATAATAACAATTTCCATGTGGAAAAATAAATCTTATATGTATCAGAAAAAATTATCTAATGGTTATATTTTTATTGCTTGCAATTCCGTCTGACAGATATTTTCAAAATGGAACCTCTTGTTGATCCTTCCTAAACTACATAACTGGACTGTAGATCATTACATCAGCCAAACAATAGTTACACTAGGA